ATGTTTTTGTCTCAGTTCCCCATCAGATTGGCTCACTGTGGAGCACGCTGCCACTGCTATACCACATGCAACAGTAATAAGTGGCCTCATCTTCTGCCTGAAGGTTGGTGATGGTTAAATAGCCGTTGTTGCCTGATCGGGTTCCTGTGAATCGGTCTGGGATCCCTGGTCCCCTGTTGCAGCCATCACAGTGTACAAAGCGAGGAGACTCTCCAGATCTCTGTTGAATCCAGCCAATGTAGTTTGGGCTGCTGCTGATGGCACAGGAGAGTTGAATGGTTTCTCCTAGAGATCCAGACTGGGAGACAGGCTGAGTCAAGGTGGGCTGTGAAGTGACGCCTTTACCAAGTGGGGAAAAAAGAGGAAATAATCAAAATTTATGATATTACCTGGGCCTCCAAAAATCCCAGAACCATCATGTTGGATACACCATTCAGTATTTTACATTGTGCAGACAAGAGAGTTTTCCATGGATTGTTTTAGAAGAACTTCTCCATATACAAAACTTCTAACTTCTTACTTAAGTCCTCCTAGAAGTGAAGAAAGGTCCATGCAAATATAGGCACACTGATTGGCTTTCCTTGATTTGAGGGGCCTCCCCTCTATTAGACTAGCCAATCTATTTTGACCCATGAGCAGAGAAGACATTTCAATAAAAGGGAGGCTGAGGAAGATCCCTTTATTTGGGTTTTCTGTCACAATGTGTGAAATTAAGGAGAAAGGAATTCCCAAGAATAACATCAGGTTGGGAACTTGAGCAGGTCTGGTTGTACCAGGAGGCAGAATGAGGCGACTGCCTTGAAAAGCAAATATCCCCACTCATCAAAAGGCAGCTAAATGTGCCTTTCTTGTTTTTAGTCATGTGGAATTGCATTTGATCAGATAAATGGGTAAGAGTCCTTCATGCTATGTACTTCTGTACACCTCATGGCAATATCAGTCAATACCAGGTTTTATGGAAACACAAATGGGAAGCTTCTCTTGTCTTTGTGTCCTTCTGTTTCCAGTCTGAGTCAGCACAATGTAAACCAGAAGATTTGCCTTTGATGTCCTCCACACATCTCTTATGCAGTTCTCAGAAAATCAAGGGCTGATTTTCAGAATTGGCTGGACTCCAATTGAGGGGATTAAGCCCAATTCCTCTGTTACAACAAGATGTGATGGCAAAACCAATAAAACCTGCAAGAGTTTCTTATGGATCCTGTGTGACACCTCAACCTCCCAACCCATTGCACTCCACAAAAACCTGCTGTGAAACTCCAGAGAAACAGGAGAAACCACCATAAAAACCAGCAAAAGGGACTTTGGTCATTGCAAATCCATGGGTACTATTTCTAGAATGGAAAAACATGGGAATCTCTCTCAAAAGATTTCCTGGACATCAAAAACTCTCCAGAGTTTTCTCACATCCCCCTTTAAGCAGCACCTCAGATTTCCAAAACTGTTTTTTTCTCTATTGACATTTGTAGGAAGCGTTTTGCAGCTGGTGAAATTGCTCAGTCTGTTGCACAGAGGAGAGTTTCAGAAGCGAGGGAGAAGTTTGGTTTGGGGCATTTCTAGGAGGGTGGCACCCCCTGCTGTCAAATCCTGTGACCACAACTGGAGAACATGTTCCATTCCAAATATGTTTCAGAGAAAGGTGCCCCCAGCCCCAAATTTCATCAATGTTCTCTCCCCTGTCAAAGCAAAATGTGTTTCTTTCATGTCCATTACACTTTGGTGAATTGTGTCACTTGCTGCCAGCAGTATATTAGGCATATTTATTTAATTTTATATTACATGATACTGAGTTATACCTTTTGGTATGTACACACCTAAATATTGAATGGATTCAGTACAAATACGGAGTTGGTATTCCTCAAATGGATACCTAACCCAATTTTCACTGATTGGCATCAGTTCCAACTTGGACCAATTAAGACAATATCCTTTTTATATATACTGTATAAAAAGTGAAAAGATT